GGTACCAATGGCCAGGGCCTCTGGCTTTTGGAGAGAGCAGCTTGAGAAGACCTTACCAGCTTTAGAGCTGTTTGAGAAAGCAGCAAGAAGCCTCAACAGCTGCTTCCTCCCTTCTTTTGGGAGCTACGTTTACACTGAGGCTGTTGCCCACGTGCTGAGCGAGGCTGTGGTTGTGCCTGTGGCTGGCTATGTTCCTCACTGATCCACATCCAGACTGCTGACTTGATGTCCTGCTTGGCCTCATACCTGGCTCATCACCATAGTCTTGTCTGATGACCTGGACTCTTGGCTGAACACTGGACCTGCCCTGCTCGTGTGCTGCAGTGCTTTACCTCTCACAGGCGAGGCTGCTGCCTCTGCCCGGCTCGCTGACTCTTGGCTCACTTTCCCTTATGGAGCAGCCTGCTTCTGCTGCTCCTCAGCACCAGCCTGCTCTGCTCCGTCAAATACGAGGTCTTTCTTTGCATGCCCCACAGCATAACTTCTTTCAAGTAGAACTTCAAGATCAAAGCTGATGTCTCTCCAAAGTAGGCTACAGCCGAGACAGGATCTGCACATTTACAGCTTTGGATTACAACTTGACATGTTTTGGGGGAGTTACTCCCTTTCCTAAATTAGGTCCTATCTTGCCTGTCAACACATGATTCCTCTATGCAAACAAATGCCATCAGCACAGGCATCTTTCACTCAAGTCAGCTGTCTAGGCTTTCATAATCAGTAGAGAGAATAAGGCAAGATTTGTATTATCCCAAGGAAGATGTCTGAGATGAGGTGAACCCTGCTCTTGAAATGACTGTTTCTCTCCACTGATACATGCCAGGCTAGTCAGAAGTCTTAGGTGGAAATATCTTCACTGAGGACACCTAAGGGATAAGTGAGCTGAATCCTATTCCAGGCCCCATTATATACTTTCAGCCCTCATGGCTGACAGCCATGGTAGATTTGTATTTAGAATACATTTACATCCAAGCGTTGACTAGTATCTTCCACACACTTCCAAGGGAAAAGACTTTTCTGAAAATTGAAGTCCAGCCTCATGCTTAGATTTCAGATCCAGACTTTCCTAGGGCAAGGGGCTGGATCCAGGGGATCACAGTCCCTTCTTCCCCGCTCTGATTTGCAGATGCGTCACCAAGCATTACGCACTTGGCAAGGACACCCCCATCTCCTAGATCCCAACATACGGCCACGGAAGAGACAGTCAGGGAGGGATGTGGGGCTTAGGATATTTCTGGCTTGTATCTGAAGACTACAGCCAGCTGGCTTCATTTACCAAGTTTTCTAAATCTAGATAATCCTACTGCCAGATCCAGCTTTTGTGACTTTTACATCCCTCCTGCTTCACTTTCCTTGGAGGAAACAGGGAACAGCTGTTTGAACAGCAGATGCAGCCTGAATGGCCAAACATCCTCTGTTCTGCGCTCAGCCCACGGGAGTGAGGTGATGGCTGCTTCTGCAGGAGAGGATGGGAGAGGAGGCAGCTGATGAGGTAACACCTTTCTCCTCCTACCCTACAGCAGCAAAGGCAGTTCTGCAGCTTTCTGCAGGAGCAGGGATGAGGGGTGGGCGTTAGTGCAGGCAGCAGGAGATAGGGAACCGGTTAGTTGTTGGGGTCCAAAACCCTGTTTCAGTCTCTTTGCTGAGGTCAGAGCATCCTGCATTCAACTACACAAGACCTGAGGTCAGCTGGGATTTAATATCATCTGCTAGCAATGCCATCATGGCTCTTTGAGTTCCTTCCCAACATTTTGCAGTCCTATTCCTTCCCTTCTCTTCCACCCACAAGGAGTGGGTACAGCTGAGAATGAGTGCTTTACAGCTGCCGTTTGTAACATTGTCATATCATTAACGTGATAACATTGGAAAGGAGTTTTTTTTCTTGATCTGGAGGATCAAAGGATTAAAAGGCAGAAATCTTCAAATCTCACAGAAAGAGTAAGGGGGTCGTAAACCCCCATTCTACAATCTGTAAACAGAGCGTTTTGTAACGCAATAACTAATAATATAACTAAAGTAATAATAATACATATAATGTGTTCTGATGTTTCTAATTAGTCTTCTTTCACTCAATTCTGTCATAATGCAGTTTTAATGCATATACACATGCTGTTTGATAGCATGGTTTGCTAATAGCTTCATGTTATTATATTAACATCAAATAGTTACTTGTGATCCCATTAGGTAGATCTGGTGACAATACTTTCTTGCAGACCTTTTATTCAGTTCCAAACTAGCTACTTGAGCTACGCTATTTATGGCGGATGGGTGCCTCACGTTCAGTGTATTTTTTTTTTGTTTTTCAGAAAGTTATAGCTAATGCAGTTTAACTGTTTCTTAGAAGGCAGATAAGGAAAGAAATATGTTATTTTTGTCCATGTTTGGAGAAATTATGCCATTATCTCATATAGAAATGCCTGTTCTGTGGAAGACAGCCTTAAAATTTGGCACAAGGTACAAGGATGACAGGACTTATCAGAGCTGTACAGGCATCATCAACACACACTCAATAGGGTTGAGTTCCTTGTTGTGTACAGGGGGTAAGATAGCTCAGAGGAAGGGGATGCTACCATCAAGAAGTTTGGGGCTAAGCATGGTGATAAAGGCATTTGCTACAGGAAACCTTGATGATGAAACCCTTCCAGAGGTTTACTGTTTGGCCTGCTGAAGCCATGTCTGTCACCTCAGAGATGCTCAGTGCTACCTCAGGGAGTGAAAGCCTCCTGAAACTTATCTCTGCACAGGCCACATTTCGTCTCTCACACCTATTCCTAGTGGGGCTGTCCATCCATCCTTCCCCTCGAGCACCTCTCCTGTTGCCCAGGGGCTGCTGTGTTGCAGCATTTGAGAATGTAGAGCAGAAGCATTGTCACTTCTGTGCTCAGAGCAATTCCCCTGCTGGCAGCCAGCTTGTTGGAAAGAAGCTGACCTCAAACACAGAGGGATGAAGAGAGGGGAGAGTGCTAGAGTTTGGGGAAGAGGTCTCAGATGCATGTGAGGTAAGAGGTGTGAAGGACAGGAGCTGGGGAAAATGCAGTAAAAGGAGCAAAGAGAAAGGTGAAAAGTTGGAGAGGACAGAGCATAAGTGCAGCATGGCTCTTATATCAATGTACTGTTTGCAGTTGTGGAGGTAATTAGGGTTTGGGAGCCTCTGTACTATGCTGTGGTGCACAGTGGAAGCATGCCGTTGGCATCTTCATAAAATGTTCACAAGCAGGGGGACAAAAGAATCCGCAAGTCTCAATGCTCGTTCCTACTTATTTTGGCCAAGGGATAGAAGCCCGCATGACAGATCTAAAGGTCTACCCCCTGCTGATGGCTTTTGTATCAAGGAATACAGTTCTGTATGACGGATTTTTTTTCCTCATTTTGCATTTTAAAAAAGCAAAACAATTGCATTAAAGCAAAGAATCAACCAGGTGCTAAGGTTAAAATTTCAGACATGCATCTAACTGATCATTACAAGCATTTCTATGTGTGCTAACAATATAATTTCTCCAAGTATGGGTAAGATAATGGTTTTTTTTTCCTTGCCTTCTTGGAAATACTTACAGCAAAGGCTGTCTGTGCAACCCTTATTAGTCACCTTGTGCACATTACTGTAATAGACTTTCATTGCGTGAATACATATTCCTTCTTCCATAGTCCCCTCTGTACCTTGCAGTGCACAGGGATGCTGTTGATAAACTGCTATAGCTTGTAAAGCAGTAAGTTGTAAATTCCTGAATTTTAGTTTCTATGGAATAGAAAGGGGGTTGTTCTCATAGGGATATCGAAGAACTTATTTTGATATTAGTTCTCTAGCAATGCTCAGGTGTCCATTGCATTTTAGAGATGGAGAAAAAGCCAGCAAAATCAGTTGTTGCCCTCAGCCGATTTTTTTTCCTGATTTTGAGGTGCTTAGCATTTGCTTCTGTTGTTCAGTGCAGAAAGCTGTGTTGTGACAAGAAAGGTTTTCTGTGACTGGTACAGATGAAAGTTTATCACAACAACTGGGGCAGCAGCTGGGCCATGCAGCATGTCTTAGGCAGCAGCACCTCAGCTGAGCCAAACGTCAAAGGTGGCGCTGACCCCCATGTGTCCTGGGCTGGTGGCATTCTCTGGATGGATTAGGTCTTGCTCTGGGAGAACGGCCTCCAGAGGGAAGGCAGAACTCTGTTGGCTGGACTTTGAATTTGATTGGCAACGGATGAAATTAATGGTGGAAAAAAGCTGGATCACATTTTCCAGAAAACAGGCAGTATATAAAATCTAAAAAGGCTGATAGAGCTACTTGGTTTTTACAGTTTTCTTCAATTTAATATGGTCTTTAAAGTTTAAGGAACAAAAAACCCCTTCTGTCTGAAATTGCAAGTTTTCTCCAAAAATAGAGCTGGTGAGAGGAATGTGAACTGACTTTACCAAAAATATCATCTCTGTCGTGAACAAGTCTCAACTACATTAAAGCAAAGAAGCTTGATTACCCCTTCCCTCTCTCACACTGCAGCTGCTCCATGGAGGCCAGCATTTCACAGGGAAGAATGCGGACCAGTGAGAGCCTGCTGTTTGCATACAGCCTGCTGGACTGCCTCAGGGCTTTCCCAAACCAGTTATTCCTGCAGCACTGAATAACACCACATTATGATCCCATGATCCCGACAGCACTGATAAGCAAGGAGGAAGAGGAAGGACACCACAGGTTTGCACTGCAAGCAGCGGGCCATTGCTGTCCCCTCTGACTTGTCCATTTGGGTTCTGCAACACCAGAGTATGGCAGTTCCTTTTGCTCCTGCTGTGCACCCAACAGCTCTCATAGCTTTTCCTTATCCTCTAAGAGGGCAGATCACCCCTATCATTACTCTTCTTGTAATTCCTTTTACACCCCATGCATTTTGAAGGCCTTCCCCTATGGCCTCTGTACACTTCAGTAGGTCAGTCACAAGGGCTGGCCCTTGTCTGGCCATGTAGATCTTAACGGTACAGTTAAAATAGTAATTTTCTGAGTCAGTACCAGAGTTTCTTACCTTGAGCTCCTTGACTGTAAAACAGTCTGTGAGCAGACTCGACATCCAAAAAGTAGTCCATTTTGAAGGAACTTTGTGTACAATACTCCGGTATGGATGATCAGTCAGATTCCTGGGAAAGATTACAGAGATGCCAGACAGAAAAAAGCTGGTGAGTTTCTTTGTGGAAGGAACTGTGTAGGCAGTCACTAAAGTACTTCATTTGGCATATTAGGGTCAAAGCATTTTTAAATCACTATTCATAGAACTTCATAAGTATCCTTTTCTATTTTAGGATGTTTGGTTTAAATCCTTGTCTAAAGACATAAAAGAAAAGTCCTGCTGCAGTATTAGCAAGACTCCTAGCACCTTCCTAGTACAATCACCTTTATTCTAGCCACAGTGTCCATTTCTTACAATACATACTTAGATTCACCTGCCTCTTACATTTGCTCTTAAAAAGAAGATCAGAAAAGCTTGGGGCAGGGACCTCCTTTAGCCAGATCCATGGCCAGCACCTCCAAGTAGGCACTACTGTAACAGACTACGTTAAAGATAGCATTCGTGCCACTTATGCCAAAACACTGCACTAGAAAGGAAGACAAAATATTCTGGATATTTCATTCCACCTAAATGACCAGAAGCCAACCTTGCCTTCCCTCTCCCCTCTTACTGACGAGAAGCAACAACAGAACATCCCACCATCAGTTCTAAAAGATGTGATAAGAGCAATCATTAAGAAATGGTAGGCTACTCCTGGCGCTGCTTCTTAGCTAAGGTTTATATTTTTGGCATTCTTCCGAACCTTGAATCTGTCTAGATCCTAGATTACAACTGTCCAAGATGTACACTGAATCAGGTTTGCCTCTGCCGGGCAGAGTTCCCGGGATTATGCACATTATTGTGACCCTTCTCCAGCCTTCTTGCTACCTTCTGCATTTTCTTCTACTCTGAACAACTCACATAAAAAAACAGGATTTGCAGAAAACACACAATCCAGTTCTCTGCTCCACACCTCAGTTAGCTACAGCATATAACCATAAGCATACAAACAGCTCTGCACAACGTATATTTTAAGACAGACAGACAAAAATACCTCTGGTCCTTTTCCGTGCAAACCTAACAGAAAGGTTTGGGGCAGAGAGTCTGACCCTTGCTTCAAGCAATTCCTTTAATTACGTTGGCAAAAATCAGGAAACCGGGGTTCCAAAGCTTTCCCTTTTTCCTTCGATTCGGTTTTCATCGATCAACATGCAGTCCTTTCTAAAATTCAGAAGCCTATCCTGATGAGAAAACTTTTAAAATTCCTCAGCAATTCACTTTACTGTAGCACTCCCAAACCAGAAATGATACTTACTGCAGAGTATCAAGAGCTGCCTGGCAGTGCTGTAAGCTCCAGTAGTTTCAAGGAGGGTTTCTTTGATCTTACTAAATGTCCCCAGTTGTAAGCAAACAATTTTGATTGTTTGATTGGAACTCTGATGAATAATGCATAACGTCAACTGGACTTCCTTTATCAGATAAAAACGGCCAGGAGATCTTGTTACTTAGCAACAGGAGGTGACACTACGATCATCTCCCCCACTCCCCCTCACCCTTCATACTGAAAAATTAAGCCCCTGGTTTTGATTTGATAAAAACTTTCCCGAGGAAAAAAAAAAAAATCTACATCAAGTTTCCTTAAGAATTTTTCACTTTAATCTTCCTTGTTGCATCTCATATTCTGAGATATTTTTAAGTTTCATAATGATTAACCGTAACACTGTGTTTTGTCTAATAATTTGCTTTCAGTAAGTAAAATACCTACTTTCTCCATCATTTACCACAAGGGTAATGAGATTGTTAAATGTTTTGCTATGAATATAAAACAAATAACATCTTGAAGAGATTCATTTCTTATCTGGTACTGCTTGTTAGACAAGGCAGACAGAAAAAGCAACACACAAAATGCTCCAGTGATGCTATGAAATATACAGATTATCTGGAAAGCTTTTCTATTGCAGAATTCCTACTTTAAGTAATTCCTTCATTCTTGAAGGAGCTCTAACATCTGATACAAGCATTCTCGAGGAATCATTGCGTTTCTGCTTAAGATACAGCCTTTTACAAAATACACAATGTAGCTTTTTTCAGGAAATACACATTGATAAAAAGCCAAAGCACTGTGAAAGATTTTTAGAAATAAATAAATAAAATCAGAGGCAGGAGGTAAGTACTTACCAGTGTTACTGACCTCTTCCCATCCTACTGTCATGCAATAAGACTAAGCAAATGCAACCCAGTCTGTGAGCCAGAATGAACAGCTTCTAATTTTCACTTCAACCTCGAAATCAAGAGTACTGAATAGAGAAAGGTGACGGATTTGCTGTTTTATATTATGATGACATGAAAGCTCTTAGCACAGATCTGAGTAGAACTGCTTTTTTTTATACTACATTAGCCTGCTAATTTGAGGAAAGTGAAAGGCTTTGTTTTACTGTCTTTTATCTGTTCTCTTTGCTACCCCCACAATTTAATTTGCATTTAAAATTATTCTTATGTCTCCGCTGCACTCCAAGGTATGGAGCATTTTCTAATCACGATGAATGTTCAGTGTGGTTTTTGTGCAATGCCACTTTTATTCTGAGCCAGAAACATGGTGAGTAATTATAATTGCCAGCTATTTTCTAGAATGAAATACAGAGTGGTTGTCTGATGCAGTTTCTGATTTTTCCTCCATTTAGCAGTGCATTGCAACAAACTACTCAGTCAAAGCATCAGTAAAAACATAAATCAAATAGCACAGTGTCATGGCACGATAGCTTAAACATGCATATCCACAGACCGTGAAAGCAGAATATGTTTCTACCGAGATCTTTCCAATTATAATTTGCCTTTCCCAAGTTTCAAAGTGGGCTTGGATAGTTAATGAACTGAAATATAGCACAGTTATCTCTTGGTGGCTTCCAGTTCATCTAGTTTGGCATTATTGGAGCTGCACATTGTTTGGAATCCTGACAAGGCCAGGCACCAGGGGCTAACAGGGGCCATGCTATTAAGTTGCATGAGCATCCCTCACAAGAGGGCCAGGACCCTGCTTCTTCCAGCAGGTCTTAGTGTAGTTCCCCGAAGTCTGATTTTGGAAGTGGATCAGAAATTGAAGGAGGTAGTGATAAAGTGATCCTTTGATAAAGTTAGACTCAGAAGTTCTGGCCAAGAGAAGTGTCAGGAAGCAGTCAGGCTTAGTCTTCCCCTATTTGCAGATATTCTGCTCAAAAGATCAGGTATAAATGCCCTCGGAAATTCATTGCCACCAAATGTTATTGGTGCTCAAAACTGTGGGTTCTGAAAGGTTAGATTTTCATTTCAGTATCAGAAAACTTTATATCAAGTAGCATAAATTTTTTTTGGCTTTTAAGAAGAAACCCAGGAAGATAAATAAACCCTCAGAGTACAGTTTTTTTTGGTGCAGGTTAGAAAGTAAGAATCCCTGTGAGCAGATTACTCTATGGGCTTCCACTCTTAAGATTTCTTACATGCTTCTTCAAAGCACCCAGACAGTATCAAAGATAAGGGTGAGCTATATGAACTCCAGGTAGAATCTGGTATGGCTGTTGCTACACTGGCACCCCACTAAATATGGTTGGATTGAGTAGGCATCTCACAGTGCCACCTTAGTGGTGGATCTGGCTTATGCAAACTGTGTTCCTGTTTTTAGAGGTGTGACAAACATTTTCATTCCTAAACACAAATTAAAGCAAAGGCAAAAACAAACGGCAAGAACACTGCAAGCCACCGTCTTTGCATTTTGGAGAGCTGCTAGCACCTTCCTCTTTGCATTTTGAAGAGTTTGTATTTGCCATGATGAATACTGAACAATAGGTCCCTCCAAGCTGTCCTCTGATAATTATTGGATCCATTAGCTTATGGACCAGGGGTCAGTTGCCTGCTTAGCCCAGCTGACTATCTTCAACAGAAAACCAGAAAAAAGAAGAAAGGCTGGCAACACAAGAGGCACAGAAGGAAAAACTGAAGACAGGAGAACACTATACCTCACTCGCTCCAAGGATCATATCTGCTTGCTTGCAAGCAATATGGAATACTTCATTTTTTTCTAGGGGCACTGGATCTCCCAGTCAGAAGGAGGCTGAAAAAAAAAATACAACCTTGCATGCTGGAGAATATTTTACAACACCTGTCCTTTAGCCTTTGGTGTGTCCTTCTGATCCTCTTTGCCATCACCCTTTCAATCTGCATAGTCATCTTCCACCGTGACTGACAAACGTAGTCATTAAAATCACCAGCAGCCTCTCTACTGACCGTTGCAAGATCATCCACCTTGATACCTTCATCCATCTCAGGGATTTACAGTTCACTTTAAATTTATAGTGCAGCAGTTCTGACGGCTGCTAAGGGCTGTCTCTGACTAGGGTGTACTTAGCAACAAGAAAGATAACAGTGCCTATATATTTATATGCTTCTGTGGCATTCATCACCATGAGGGAAATCCTTGCCTGCCTGGTTACAAAGTCTTTAAGATGGTAGTGTGGGCTCAGATTTGACCCGCAGTCCAGAGAGAGCTCTACCCTCAGAAAGGAGAATCCATTACCTCCAGTTCAGCTGCAAAGCCTACATGTCTCAAAAAATGTTCAGGTGAAACATCTGGTTTGAATTAGGTATGATCCTCAGATCAGGCTTCACATATCCTTGAGGCTCACTCTGAAAGCTTTGCACAGCTCTTGAGCTAATGTGCAATGCATCGAGATGTGTACTCTGACTTGGTTTCCAAAGAACAGCAGAGCACCTCAGGGGGCAGGACAGGGAAGGACAGCAGTAGCCAGAACCAGAAACTGTACTTTCCAGCTCTCTGAACCCTTCCTTCCCTGTGCTCTATCAAGCCCTGAAGCCAAACTTGCAAAACCTCGGCTATTGACTGGACCTCTTATCAGCACAGATCCCTGTTCAGGATAATGGGTGCAATGGTTTTGTAACACACACAGATACCCATGGAGGACTAGACTGAGACAGCACTCTTTGTGAGCTAGACCGTAAAACCAACCAGCCGACCTCTGCTAAAGAAATACTTGGAAAAAAAAAACCTGTCACTCTTTGGAAAGATCTGAAGCTGGCATTCCTCATCATGAGCTTAAGTAA